AATCCTAATTTATGTTTATTCAAACCTTATCTATGTATCTAGATAACTTTTTAGAAGCTGTATCTGTATCTAGATAACTTTTTAGAAGCTGTATCTGTATCTAGATAAATTTTTAGACTATGTATCTGTATCTAGATCCATTTAAAAAGTATATTTCAATAACTCTGTTTTATATTTTGGCTTATCGTCTATATTGTTATATACAAATTAGATATTCAATTTTATGATTTCTTGTCCATATTTATAATTAATTGTATTAAAATAATAATCATCCAATAAAATATTTTTATATTTCACTTTCCAAAATTTTTGATTGCCTTTTGGACACATATAATTGGTATAAAATTCCAGTAATGTTGTTTTGTTGATTGTATTTGTTTTAAATTTTTTTTATAATGATGTATCTTGATTTTTAATTATATTTATATATTAGCCATCAAAATATCATGTGTTTGCTATTGAAAAAATCAGCATTTATATATGGTATGTATTTCTATTGGTTGGTTTATACATCTCTCCATTTTCACTCTTATTGTCGAATCCCACAATTCTTTTTAAGCAGTTTGGGTGGGAAAATTATAATATTCATTTTTTTGTGAACCATGAATTATATTGATCACCTCTACAACTTTATGGCTTATTGTGCAGTAAGAATAAATCCCTAATATAAAGTATATTGTATTTAGGATGCTTTATTATCTAAGCATTTTTTATTAAGAATCCATATTCATATTAGAATTCAGCAAATGGTAAAATTTTCAGGCTTAGTCCATAATTTTTTTAAACGTTACCTAGCCAGGTAATGGTCCGGGCATTGCAGATCTCCAATCTATATCAAAAAAATTAAGGGCTTTAAAAGAGACCTGCAAGCCTTGGAACCCAGGAAAACCGAAAATAATATTACTTTAAAAATCATGGCAAGCCGAGACTTGAATTTAAAAAGTATAAAAAATCAGGGCCAGTTTGGTCTTAAAAATTAAAAATCATGGCAGGGCCATCATATCTTATGCCAAGCCATTTTAAACATAAATTTGTTTCTCAAATCCTTTCTGATTTATATAAATCAGGTTACGATATCCATCTAGTTCAGTAATATCATTATCATATCCAGGATAAGTAATTTCAATATACATTAAGATGCAATTTCATAAATGATGAAAACAAATGGTAAGAAATTAATGCAAAATAGGACAAATAATTAAAAAGCTGTTGAGTAATCGTTAGTATACAGGCCAGGCCTGGGTTTCCTTTTCCAGCCCTTAATTAGAAAGCTGTTGATTAATCATTATCTACATGTCAGGTCTAGGTTTCCTTTTCCAGCCCTTATTTAAAAAGCTGTTGAGTAATCATTTTTTTACAGGCCAGGCCTAGAATTTCTTTTCCATACCTGTTACAAATGTGTTAAAATATTTAATGTAATTTGCAAGCTTATTTTGGAAAATATTATTTTTCACAACTTCCCCACCCCCTTTCATCAGCCTTATGTTGTAAATGAACGCGTTTATGAACGAAGTTCGTTTTTTTAAAAAAATGATGAATACTTTTATTTTCACGAACTTTCAAAGGCAACGCGTACCTTTTTTTTTGACGTACGCGTTCGTTTACTTTCGTTCAATTTTAGAAAATCTAATTTTTATTCATTTGAGAATAAAAAAATATTAATCCGAAATTTTTGGGTTATTTTTAAATCAGCTGTTTTCTTTATTACATTTGAATTTTTTAACCAGCTACTGTTTCTGTCCTATAGTATATTTTATTAATTTTAATATTTAAATTTTATAGATTACCGTAAGCATGGGTGTATAAAATGGGTTAATGTTGTATACTACTTAAGGTATTACCTATCAAATTTGTATTTTGTTTATTTTTCATTTGGATAGGCACTACCAAATACATTTAGAATATATATTTGAAAAATCCGTGTTTTTTGGAAAGCGTCTATGGCCTAGTAGGCAAGAGGGTTCGAATCCCAGCAATAATTTTTTTTAATTTATGGTGGTTCCATCCTTGGGGGATGATATATAGGAGGCCGGACTCGACCACGTGATTCCATAATAATATTTAAATAATAAGGGTCTTATTACATTTTATTCGGTAATTGGCAGTATGTATCAAATAAAAATTGTAAAATCACGATTTGCTCGGTATTGCCTTTGGTAATAAGCATCTTTAACCCTTCAATACTCCGGTGAAAAAAATGACGTTAGTACTCGGGTGGGGTTAATAGACCCCAATTTCAAATGTATATATCTCTAGTTATATTTATTATTTTCATTTGATATTTGGATGTAAGTTAGATCTAACCTTAAGCTTGATAAAATATTTTTATATCTTAAGCCTAGATTAAAGATGATGAGGATAATTATAATTTGTGCCAGAATTTTTTTTAAAAAAGCTTACATTTTTTAAATTTCAAATATAAAATTAAAAAAATAACTTATCCATCATATAATCATGATAATTCATAATATGGATTTTTATTCTTCAATACAAAAAAAATTACACTAATACATTCTAATATAAAAAATATAGAACATTGAAATATGCTAAATTTGACATGCAAAACATTTATTACATAAAATATTAATGTGTTCTAAACATAAATTTATTTTACATATTTGACAAAAATATTTTGTTTTTTTTATAAGGAGAGTTTTATGTCATATGATAGTTTATTTGGCATGTATTGCATGAATGGGCATTTACCACGAAATGCTGGAAGCATTTCATTTAGGGTTGATAATTCTGATATTGTATAAGATCTGTAGCAGTAGCAGTTATCAACAAATTTTTGAAAATTATTTTTAAAGTGAGTTGCTTTGTCTAACATTTTTCTCTCTTCTCTTGTTAATATGTCATCATATCTTATTGTATGAATTAGAAATCTGAATCTTTTGAGTGTCATTGTTGCTCTAAATATCTCAATTCCAAACCCATCCGATTTCCATAATTGAGTCACCTTATTTTTAGCTAATTTTACAGAGAAATAGATATGATAAACAATTCCATATTTACCTTAATAATATTTAAGTTTAATGTCTGTTTCAATTAGCATATCTTCTTAATCTAATTCAGATTGTGTATCATGATCACTATCATAAATAAAATTTATTCATCATTATCAATTACATAGTCATAATCGCCTCAAATAAAATGATATTACATCTTAAATTTTTTTTTATATACTATCAGAATCTGCAAAAATCATAGTATATAATAAAAATAATTTGAGAAATGAGCCAGATGGTGAAAATAATAATAAAATAACTCCACCAAAAAAAATGTTTAAGTTTTCTTTTTAACCTATAAAATGTGTCCAAAAAATGTAATATCAGTTTCAAAATCTTCAAGTTCTAATTTAAAAAGATACTTGATTGTAATATTTATTATTTTATATAATATAACTCTAAGTATCATGTTATTTATTTATTGTTAAGAATTTCAATAAAATATAATTTTTTTACCATTACATCCGTGATGATGAGCATGTGTTAGATTAATGTACAAAATTGCTAGCTTTATAATATTATCATTAAAATATTTCAGGGTATGAGCTTATAGGTTTAGATAAAGATAAAAGTTTAAGTTTCAGGGTCGGTTCGTAAAATTTTGGTTCAAACCTTTTTCATTTAAGCTTAATTACAATTATAAATATGTAAAAAGAACATTTTTTAAAAATTTATTATTATTTTAATTTATATCTAGTAGAAGAAGATATAAATTCTATGGTTGATAACACTCCTATATGGTAACTTAGATATCTCACCGTCCAATAGCAATATACAAAAATATCTGTGTATAATTAATGATACGTATTAATCAAAATTGATTATTAAAGATATTTAAAAGAGTTGGAATATCAAAAGTTCCAACGGTTCCCAGACCTTTATAGAGGTCTAATTGGCAAATTTTTTAATGGTTTAAGTTCGGTTTAGGTTCTGTAAATAATAACGGTTAAAACCCATTTAGATTCGCCTTATAATAATAGTAATAAATGTGAAAATTATGCACCAGCCTGATTTAAATAAACGGTTAAGTTAGCTAAATTTCAGGTTCTCTTGAAGGTCATCGCGAGGCTTTATTGTCTATATTTTTGTAAATGTTACATTACTAAGGTAGGACAAAGTAGTTGAAGCTCTAAATAAGTTTATATAGGTAGGATTTGCTCGTTTACTATAAAAAGATTATAATTTCCAGGTAAAAATTAATTTGCCATTCATTATCTGCAACATAAAATATTGTTTATTTAGCTTAGTACTATTGTAGATTAAGTTATATCCTCCTAGCTATCTAATTTAGCCTATTACCAAGGTAAACGGCAAAGACCTGCAGTAAAATAATTGACACAAATTATATTAAATGCTTTATTTTACATTCCCCCCCCCCCCCCCCCCCCTCATCCCACTCTTTAAGACTATTACTATCATTGAAGCCGATATTTCAACTTCTCATTTAATACTCATATTGAGTATTTATTTGCAAAAAATTTTACAAATAGTAAGAGTAACATTATGAATTACCTTGAATCTTATTGAAATTTAACGATAGAAAATATCAATAAATTCATAAATAGACATTTACCCTATTATTGTAATAAATACTCATTATTCATTCTATATTTATAATTCATTTAAATAAGATAAGATCTATTTATATTCACAAATAGTGAGATAAACTAATTAAAATATTAGTAAACATAAAATGTTTAACCATCACCAAGAGATTTATTAATCTTTACAAAAGCTTTATTTAATAAAATATTTGTAATATCCCCTAATATATACATTCTTATTATAAGATAAATTAATACTCATTGGCAATGAGTATTTTTATATTTATTATTAATGATACCAATACCCTGAGTTTTTTTAAACATAACAATTTTATATATTAATTTATATTTGTATAATAATAAAATGATATATATTTTTTGAATTATAAATATGAGCAAGTTTTAAATGATATATAAACCGAAATTAGATAACAATATCAGAAAAATATCAAATCGAATCGAGATATAAATTTAGATCTGATTCGGAAGCGATTATATTTTTTGCGAAGTAGCATCCTAATGAAGAAACAACCAGAGCCGATATCATGTAATAGCGTGGATCGGATGACAATTTAATTATCTGTCCTATAATGGTAGTCGCTATAATTTGCGCTAAAAAATAACCGATATCCAATACGGCTATGTCTGCACCTATACCGAAAGAACGAACTTTATCATATTTGACGTCATTTTTAACGGAATAAGACTGATTCAAAGTTTTAAAAGATTTTTTGGTGTTATTAAAATCATGATGTAAATTTGCATGATGTACCTCATTTCCATTTATCGCAAGGAGTGGACTTTGTTTGTCAGACTGTATCTCATTGGATAGGTTGAAGTAGTATTTTGTTTTATTGGTGTGATATTTGGACAGCAAAATAAAAGGTACGGAATTGACGACAGCTAAAGTTATACCAGTGAACGTGGTCACCATATTGCACAGCAAGACTCCTTTTACGGGTGATAAGATCATCGAGAGCATCGCGAAGTCGAAAACTAGTAAGCTCACGATGTAAAGCTTTTTTATACTCATCCATCCCTGACTTATTATAAATCTTTCTAGTAATGGAGAAACAATAGCGGCCATTAACGAATGCCATAGAAGACCCCAACTAGCTGACCTCACTCCTAGATCGTAAAACTTTCTTAATTCTAGACCTTCTCCAACCTTTGGGTCACCCTCAAAAATATACCGGCCCATATAATCCGCATAGAAGAGATTATGGATCATCAAAGCTGTCCACATAAACAAATGTGCCAAAAAAAGACGTCTAAGAACTAGAGGCCACCTGAGCCATATATTGAGATATCTTACGGCTCCTCTCAACTTTAGAAATGTTTTTAATGCCTTTTTAGTGGGCCAATGCATTATACGACTGCAATAAAAATAGGAAACTATTTTATATATCGTCTGATTGGGTGACTCTCTATCTCTAAATGATATGCCTTTATTAGAGCTTGATTTTAATTGTATATATGCATTTGGCAACCTTATCTCCACTTTAGGGTCATCCTTATAAGGATATTTTGATTTTTTAACGAATGAATTCTCTTCAAATACAAGTATTAAAAGTTCCGAATCATTGTATTCCGAATTATTACTTTCATATCCATCGTCATCGGTTAAAATTATTGTTTCTTTTTCGGTATATTTATTTTGCTGAAATGGAGTAAAATTCTGTCTCCAATTCTTATTGCGCCCGTCATCTTTCAATGATACCAAAGTAGCTAATAGACTCAATACGAATAACATGGCTAAAAAGTAGAATATAGAGTTTTCTTGGGGGTTTGGAAAATATCGTGCTAGGTAAGAAGCATTCCATTCGAAGGCAACTATAAGGTAACCCACGCAACTTCCTAAAGCCAACATGCTTGAATAAATTGCATAAGACAACTCAGCCCATTTGGTATTTTTGTAAATATCCGATAAAAGTGCCTCGAAAGGGTTCAAACATACTTGAGTACAATAATCAAGCCCAAAAATTCCCAAAATCAAGATAAATTTGGATATCGAGGAGCTAAAATGTGGAGGGAGAATAGAACCTACTTCTCGATAACTCCCTAAACATATCAATGAAGTTAAAACTCCTACACTCAGTGCTATAATAACCGGTTTACGACCTCTGTTGTTTGATTGATATTCATCACCCATTTTGGCTATGTAAGGCATGGTTAGTATGGCTATAAGAGGGGCAAGACTAAGTATGAATGACATTTCAAAGCCTTCGATGCCCGTTTTCATGAGTAGTGATGGTATGTAAACGAAACCCGCGCTAACACAAAACTCTAGCCCAAAAGCGGCAGAAGTAAGCATAATCAGCTTCAAGTAGGAATAGAACGTCACCGGAATATCTATCATGCTAGGCTGAGCCGTTCGATTAATAACTAATTATAAATATAATAGAGAATTTGATTATTTTATAGTCTGGATATATGATATAAAATATTTACCATAAAATTATATACTTAAATTTTAAGTAATGACTTACTCTTACAGAATGTAAATATTTTTTTCCAGAATAAAATATAAATCAGATAATATAAAATTAGGTTCAAAACAAATCGTTGGAAATAATTATTTCTCACAATTATTTTTTTTAAAATATCTATGTCTTGACAAAATATGAATTCCACGGGGATTCGGGATCTCTAAATTTTAAATCTTTTAAAAATTGATTTATATAATTTTGAGAATCAAAATAAATAGGCTATTATATCAAGATAATTTGTAAAAGTAATACTTAAAGGTCTGGCAGTGTATAGTCAAGTCTCCCACTCCCCAACAGAAAATTAGAAAGTATACTAGTATCCATTTTGTTTTAGGTATAAATCCATCAATTCTAATCATTTAATAAATTTTATAGATTGTAAGGGGAATAAATTATCAATGTTTCCTGCAAATTTCATTAAATTCTATCAACAGGGTCTAAAGTTATGCACCTACAAAGTTGGACAAATAAAATTCGAACTTTCTAATGTAAAACTATTAAAACTTTACAATTCGACAAAAACATGAAAACATCAACATTTACTGCAACGTACACCCTATTATTTTCCAGATTTACCGGTGAAGTTACTTTAAACAGCTTTACATCAGTGAATTATATGAAATGAATTAGCCTCTGAGGGTATTTTCTTAGATGTTGTCTGGTACGTACCAGAGGGGCAATCATATTTGCATCGGTTAGGTATTGGGCATTTTTCTTTTTTAAAAACATCAAATACAGCTCTTTGTGGATAATCCGATGCACTTAAGTTTGCTAAATATCAGTTTCTAGGGCTACTTGACGAATTATTCTGTAGATGCCAGATCGGTTTTCTTAGCTCAAAATGAGTGTTTCAACAGAATCAATATATCACCATACCGTTTTTCTGCTGATCGGGTATCATCAGTTTTTGCAATAAATATATTCAAGACCTCTGATAGATCAGTTGTTAGGAAATTCGTACAAAAACCTTTTGGCTCCGTAATGTTTCTCCCGTCTTAAAATTTTAATTAGACTCAAGTCATCCTTACTGAAAACCATTTTTTTTATTGTCTGCTTAAATGTAAAGTTTTTACACGTTGGAAAGTTAGAATTTTGTTTGTCGAACTTTGAAGGAATAACTTTTGAACCCTGTTTGAAATTTGCAGAAAACATTGGCCTATAATTTTATTGAATCTATGTATAGAATTGACAGAATTATTGCTAAAACAAAAATAATATCAGTTCAATTGACACTATAGAATGGTAGAGATTTCATTTATTTATAACATTCCAATAATATTTCATGTTTTTTTAATGTTTCTCGCTTTTAATCTTTTAAATTTCTAACCCCTCTAGAAACAGTTAATAACTCGACACCCCACCCCCCTCCCCCTAAACAAATTACTTCACATTAATCCATACTTCAATAAAATAAACACTTAGCAGGGGTCAGTTTTTAAAAACGTTTTGAGTGCAATCATGTGATACATTTATAAATATTTAAAATTATTGATTTAAAATTATGCAAGGGTTAATTACTTAAAATAAATTGGGATATATTTGTTCGGTGTATTATTTTATCAGGGTATTTTATGGATGGAATTCCAAAATAATAAAACTAGTAAATTATCTGTAAAGTAACGTTATTATTAAAGGCGTTACCTTTTTGAGGAAATTTTTTTTTAAAAAGGTAACGAGTAACTTGTTTATTTTTTTTTGAGTAATAATAACATAAAAGGCTACCCGTTAGTTAAGAATCTTTCTTAAAGAATAAGGAAATTTATTATGTCTGAAGTGGTTTGCCTCACACCGATATTAGGGCTTCTTGGACAAAATTTCCACTTTTACAAAAAATAAAATTTTAAAAAATTTATTATATTCATAAAATTAAAAAATTGATTATATTCATAAAATTAAAAAATTGATTATATTCATAAAATTAAAAATTGATTATATTCATAAAATTTTTTATAAGACACCTATATAGAGTATAGTTTTAGGTATCTAATCATATATTATTTATTATATTATCTAAAAAAAACCAATAGCTATAGCCAATTTTGTAAAAATCGGTTCGACTAACCCCAGTCCCCTACTTACTTATTTTTTCAGAGGAAGATTATTTTACTCTGGCCTGGTCAGTTTGAAACAATTTTTACATAAATTAACAAAATTAAGGGCACTGAGTCTATACTTTTTAATTGTAGATTGTGCCCTAATTCAAATATTTTAACCTCAATGTCTAACCAGCAGTTCAAATCTAAAAAAACATTTGGAAGTAAAATATGGATTCAGATTAAATTCTGATAACGATAAAAAAAATTAATGAGGTTCTGAATGAGATTCTTGTGATAATTAGTTTTTTTGAGAATAAAGATAATTGTTTAAATATCTTTAATAAATTTCCCCAATTAAAATTTTAATTTATTATATAATGCAACCCTCCCATCTCTGCTCTATTTGAACATGTGTTTTGCAACTAAGCGCCTGATCAAAATTTTGAAAATCAATTGTAAATTTTAATAAAAAATTATTACAAAATGAACTTGTCTTATATAATATATTAATTTTATTTTTATTAACGAAAAAAATATAAATAAAATTTATATATTATATTTTATTTAGTATTTTTTGAATAAGGAGTAACTCGTTACTTTAAAAATAGCGAATAACGCGTTCCCTTTTTTCACTACAAGGTAACTAGTAACCCATTTCTTTTTGAAGTAACGTTACAACACTATAATATACATTTTTAGTCTAATTTAATGTCATTGTCAATTACATATAAAAGATCAATTATAAAAACAAAATGTTATATATATATAATATTATTATATTTATATATTTTATAAAAAAAAATGTTTGTTAGAGTAAATTAAAGATATCAACTCTAATTATTATGACGGATTTATCAAAGACACATTCGCAGATATCGTAAAATAAAAAGCGATCAATATATTGTAAGGCTCGGTTGGAGTTTGCCAGTAATAATTTAAGGCAGGCTTATACAAATTAATTTAGTTTAGTAAAAAGATGGAAAGATTTTTTCTTATAATTAGTGCTGTAAACGTTACTCTAAAAATGTAACACTGTTATTTTAAGAAAAGTGGTTACATTACTTTTTAAAAAAACAATAAAATGCTACAGCACAACTATAATATTTTTTCCCAGATATAATATAAGGCTATGTGAAAAAACTAGAATTATTATAAAGGATAAAAAAAATTGCTAACAAAATGTAAATATTTAAAATTTACTAAATAAAATCTACAATTATTCAAAATTATTTGATCAGATATACAGGAACGTTTAACTTTTAACAAGATTTTTCCTAGACTAAGATGTTTAACTAGTGCTGACGATGTAGTGTAGTGTTTCTTCATAAATTGATGATTCTAAGGATCTTCATGAAAAATGTACTTTTTTGGTTTAAACCATGACTACCTTCTCTTATCAATGGATGATTAATGGTATTCTATGAATGCAGCAACGCTATTCATTTTACAATTATAATGTATGAATGAAGATTAAATTCAGAAGATCAATATTAATTGTTTGATGTACATGTAACCTAAAATCTTGACTAAAATTATTATAAGTATACTTCCTTATTTTAAAAAGTACCAAGTATCGTATAAGTTTACTCGTACAAAACCCCTTTTCTTATGATAATAGCATTTTAAAACTACCTCTTGCCCGCTTAAATTTCACTGAAGAAAGTTAAGTATTTAGAGCGATTTCGTTATTTTCCCGAAAAGTAACATATTAGTTATTTTAAATATAAGTAACGAACAAATATAACGCGTTATTTTATGAGTATATCATTTACAGCACTTTAATATATAATGTATTCGTCATGGGTATATTAAAAATCTGACCGGCTAGAAAAAGTTCCAACCAAGTAACTTTTGCAAAATATTTTTAATGCAGAATATATGATTTTGACTTGACAAAAAATGGCAACATCGGGGCTAAAAAATATAGGTACAGGTCGGATAATCACACATAAAAAATTTATCGGTCCTGGCTAAAAATATTGTTAGTTCGGCTGAAGAATATTTTAAAAATCTTTACAAGCTGGTTCAGGGCTTGATGATTTCTAAATACTATAAAAAAATATGATATTTATTATGAAAACTTACATATAATGTAGTGTATAAGAGAAAATTAACATCTCGAAATACAAAATGGCAATTTATAAAATTTTTATTCAACTTTGCATTATCGGCGTAAAAATAAAAATATAAAGAGTAGAATAATATTTATTTTACTCACTTTTATCATTTAAAGGTAAATATAAAATATTTGTTTAATTTTGATTTATTTATCATATCAATAATATTCAAATATTCATTGGCGTACGCAGCGGGAGGGGGGGCAGGGGGACAACCCCCCCCCCCCCCCCCCCCCCTCCACAAAAGCCAAAAAATGCAGATGCCGGATTATATTTTTCAAAAATGTTATTGTTAATTATATTTGTTAATATTTATTTCATATTTAATTACATTTATTTATCACATTCATCTACTAAGTTATTTTATCAATCAACTTCGATTTCAAGTTTTCCTTGGCGTAATTTACCTATTATTTTCAAATTTTAGTGGTGTAATATTTATCTAAATTTCTAGTAAAATAATAATTATCTCTGAAACTTGTCCAACAGGGAGAAAGAAATTGCAAGCTTGTCCAACGAGATCGAGTCTCCGCCATCAAGCAGTAACAGCTATTATGGAGTTAGAAGAGGCGATTATTAATGCTATTACTGGAAATATCACAATGGCTTGAAAGAAATATTTCCTCAGAAGCAAGAAAATTATAGGATTCAATACTTATTCCAAATTTTTTTTCTCATTAGAATGTATTATTTAATTATACAACTATTTTATGTAATACTTTTCAAAAACATAACATTGACTT